TTGATAGATTAAAACTGAAGCTTATAGGAGATCAAAAGTTATAAGATTTTTAAAGGCTAATTTCTGGCTTCTTGGAGAATATGTATATGCGGGACAAATGTTAATCTTTTCTGAAGCACCACTGCCCCCTTGTGGCCCTATAGAGAAGTTACATTATACAATGGTATAAGGTTTCTTAAAAGTTCATGCTTATCAACCATGCATCAATCAGAGCACTGATATAAATGTCTAAGTATTCTTCTTAGGCCAGTGATTTCTCCAGACAGGAGATTTTGCCCTTGATGTGGCTTGCACCTATGAAACCTTTGTTTCCCCTAACTGAGGTGTGTCTCAGCTGGATCTGGAAGTCTTGGTTGGGATGCTAGACCTACCAGGAGAAAACAGAGCTTCAGATATATTCATGGAAGGACCTCACCTGCCCTAGGGTCCCTTCAAAGACAGGAACTGGTCCTCAGGCTGAATCACTGCATGGGGCTGTCTTTACTTCTGTAATAGCAACATCAGATCAAGGAGAGCCCTTCACACTAAAGAGAACAATAAACAGATTCTAAATCAAACTGCTTTTTCTATCTCTTTGCCAACACTTGATATAATTGTTTTATTACTCTTAGCCAAAATAATGGGTGTATAGTAATCTCACTGTGCTAGCAATTAGAATTTCCCTGATGACAAATGATGTAGAACAAGGTTTACAAACTTCTTCCATAATGGGTAGAATAGTAAAAACTTTTGGCTTTGCAGGCCACTCAGTCTCTGTTGCAGCTACTGAAGTCTGCCATTGTGGCATGAAAGAAGCTACTGATAATACATGAATAAATGAGCATTGCTATGCTCCAATAAAACTTTTCTTACACAAATAGATTTGGTCCATGGGTCATATTTTGTTGATTCCTGATGTAGAGAATGCTATGGCTTCACAGGGGAATTCTCAAAGATTTAAGGAAAAATTAGTCCCCATCCTGCTCAAAATTTTCCAGAAAACTGAAGAATAGTGAGTAATCCCAAACTTACTCAATAAGGCCAGCATTACTTTGATACCCAAACTGGATGATGATAGTACAAAAAAAGAAATATACAGGTCAATATTCCCAAAAAACAGAGAGGCAAAAATCCTCAGCAAATATTAGCAAACTGAATTCAGCAATATGTAAAAGCATCACACATGTGTAAGTAAGATTTTTCCAAGTGTGCAAGGTTGATTCAAAATCCACAAATCAATCATTGTGATACACATTAACAGAATGAAGGATAAAGTTACATGCTTATCTCGATGGATGGAGAAAATACATTTGACAAAACTCAGCATCTATTTATGTTAAAACCTCTCAATAAACTTGGTATAGAGGGAACACATCTTAAATAATAAAGGCCATTTGTGACAAACCCACAGCTAACCTTATATTCAATGATTGAAAAACTAAAACTTTTTCTCTAAGATCAGAAACAAAACAAGGATGCCCGCTCTCCTCTCATTACTTCTACTTGACATAGTATTTGAAGTTCTAGCCACAGCAATCAGACAGAACAAAGAAATAAAAAGCATCCAAATTAGAAAGAAAGAAAGCTGTCACTGTTTGCAGATGGCCTTATGTTCAATGTAGAAAATTATGAAGACACCAACAAAACACTTTTAGGACTAATAAATAAATTCAGTAAAATTGCAGGGTACACAATGAATAACAGAAATTGTTTCATTTGTGCACACTAATAATAACTATCAGAAAGATAGCTGAAGATAACAATACAATCTGCAATTAAATGAAGAAAATTGAAATACCGGGAATAAATTTAACCAAGAAGGTGAAATACCTGTACTGTGAAAAGAATAAGACATTGATAGAGGCAAATTGAAGACAATAGAAATAAATAGAAAAGCATTCCATGTTTACAGGTTGGAAGAATTACTATTGGTAAAATGTCCACCCTAACAAAAGAAATCCACAGATTCAACAAATCCCGATCAAAATATCCATGACATTTTTTCACTGAACTAGAACAAATATTACTAAAATTTGTATGAAAGCTCAAAAGACCACAAATAGCCAGAGCAATTTCAAGACAAAGAACAAAGTTGGGAATTACCTGATATTAAAATATACTACAAAGTTATAATCATCTTAACTGTATGGTACTGGCACAAACACAGACATATTTTTCAATGGAAAAGAATGGAGAGCCCAGAATTAAATCCATGCACATACGATCAATTGATCTATGACAAAGGAGACAGAAATAAGCAACAGGGAAAAGGCCACTTTTCAATAATTGGTGTTGGGCAAACTGGACAGCTACAAGTTAAAGAATGAAAGTAGAATATTTTCTTACAACATACGAAAATGAACTGAAAATGGATCAAAGACTTAACTGTAAGACCAGAAATTATAAAATTCCTAAAAGAAAATATGGACACTATGCTCTATGACATTCATCATTGCAATATTTTTTATATCTATTTCCTCAGGCAAGGACAAAAAAGACCCAAAGTAAGAAAATGGGACCTAATCAAACTAAAACGTTTTATATAGTGAAGGAAACCATCAACACAAAGAAGAGGAAACCTACTGAATAAAAGGAGAAATTTACAAGTGGTTAGTCAATAAAGGGTTAATGTCCAAAGTATACAAAGAACTTGCACACTCCATATCAAAACCACAAATAATGTGATTTAAAAAGTGAGCAGACTACCTAAATAGACATTTTTTAAAAAGAAAACACACAGATGGCCAACAAACATGAAAAGCTGCTCAACATCTCTAATCATCTGGAAGATGGAAGTCAAAACCACAATGAGGTATCACCTCACATCTGTCAGAATGCTATCATGAAACAAACACACACAAGAAATAACAAGCATTGTGGAGGATGTGGAGAAAGGGAACCCTTGGTAGGAAGGTAAACTGGTGCAGCTACGATGAAAATGAGCATGAAGATTCTTCAAAAAATTAAAAATAGGACTGTCATACAATCCAGCAATTCCACTCAGTTTATTTGACCAAAGAATACAAAAACATTCAATGAAAATATATATTTACCATAATGTTTGCAGCAGCATTATTTCCAATAGCCAAGATATGGAAGCAAACTTTGTGTTCATTCATATGATTGGATAGAAAATACACACACACACACACATACATACATGCATATACACACACATAGAATGAAATAAAAAAGAAAGATATCTTGCC